TACGATGTTTACTCTGATGTATGCAGTAAAGTGGAAGACGGTAGAAAGTAAGTCCCGCTTAGCTCAGTCTTAATTTTCAGAAATCATCTATTTCATTTATTTGAGCTTCTACACGAAGTTGCTAGACCGCCTTCACAAACTGACTCTTGCCGTTGAGGGTATCGAAGCAGCCTGTGAGTTAATCTGATGTTTTGTTGCAGCTTTATGCTTTAACACTAGTTTTGTAGTCGGAGCCGAAAGAGAAAAGCGCGAAGCGGAGAAGCGGTCACTAGAAGAAAAAATGGCTGCTATCAAGAGAGCCAGTGAGGCCAGGGAAGCGCTGGCTGATTTTTCTATAGGGGGTGGTGCGCCAGTACCTCTTCCAGGTTTACCTCCAGCAAACAGAGGTAAGTAGAATGTGTTATTTTCTTTTAAAAAGCTTATGTTGTTTCAACCGGTTCTAGGTGGTCGGCCCCGACTTGGTGATTACATGGATTTCTATCGGAACAAAATGGCTGCAGGAGGCACTAACCCAACGGGGTATGTGCCTCCGCCGCATACGGGCCCCTATCAACAACTCCCTGCGGTTGCTGGGGCTGCCCCATATTATGGAGTTCACCCAGGACAGGCAACCCAGATCCAAACTGGTCATCCCGGCGGTTATATCGCACCACCATCGCCAGCTCCTAGTAGTATTCCAGGTAAAGTTCTGCGTAAACAAGACTTTATCATTAGCGTATTAATATGTGTGTTCAGACTCATCCACATATCCGTACCAGCATTTCCCGGAAGAGCATGGTCGACCATCTCCCATGCTTCAACAGCACCCCTACTCACAAGTCTCACCAATGCCTGCTACGTCCTACGCTGCTCAGGCAATAGCTCACAATCCAGCGTTGGGGCTGCCAGCGCACTTACAAGGAGCGCAAGCCCCCAAACTGCAAACAATCACGCCTCCGCCGCAGAGTTACGCGCCACAACCTCAACTACCACAGAGCAACCATACACATGTCCCAGTATCGGGACAGTATCCGCCTGGGCAGTTTCAGCAGTATCCTGGATCAGGTGTGCCGACGCCTGCAGTAGCGACACCAATTTCATCTGTAAATGCTCCTGCTCCTGTACCATCGGGCCAGTGGAATACTTCGCAACAGGTAAGCGTTAAAGCCGAAACTTCCTAGTTTTTTTGATGACAATAATGCGCTTGTAGCAATTCCCTGTTCCAACGCAACAAAACACTATGCAGCAAGTACCGACTGCGATACCAGCTCAGCCCCAGAGCTTGCCATATATGCCAG